CCCCCCCACCCCCCCACTATACATGCTAATCATAATGCCCTCTTTCTTTTTTCCCCCTGTCCTCTGGCTTTTAGTTGAAAAAGTAATGCATGGTTAAAAAGAAGTCCTCTCTTCCTGCCAAAAGAATTGAATCACTCATCATCCCACCATTAGGAAATAATAACTTTAGTTGTAAATCTTTTGAACTATATGTGCACACACAGATTTTTGTTTATTTAAACTGAAAAATGGGATCATATTGCTTTGAATCTGATTTCTTTGATGCATTACAAATATTGCCATGCTAATAAATACAAGTACAAATCATAACTATAATGGCTGTATACTGTTCTACTTTATGTGTAATTTACTTAGCTAGTCTCCTTTTGTTTTAGATTATTCTCAGGTTATTCGCTCTTATAAATGAAATCGTAGTTAATATTATTATATACTTCTATATGCACTCCTATCCAAAAATTCTGTAGGCCAGTGGTAGAATTGTTGAATTATCAGTTGCCCTCCAGAAAGTTCATTTTGATTCCTTCCACAAGTAAGTGGGATCATTCATTTTCCCACAGCCATGCTGAGAAGTATTATTCTTTTTAATCTTTGGCAAATCTCATTTGTTAGTGACTTGTACTATTAAAGGCATACAGTGAGGTTTGAAAGTATATAAGGAATAAAGTAATAATAATAAGTCACTTAAACTTTTAAATATATGATGAAAGACTGTAGGAAATCTTGTGAGTATGAGAATGGTTCAGGAAATAAAATGCCTGAAGTGGAAAGACGGCAAGTTTGTGATTAGACAGATAACAAACCTTTGAAATTTTGTCCTGTGGGAGAAGTATGCTAGTTCATCTCAGAACCTAAACCAGAAAAGCCCTTGAAGGAGTGTTTAAGAATGTTTAAAGTCCTTATCCATTTATGCAATTATTTTCACTTAGAATAATAATAGTAACATGAAAATACAGGCCGTAGTTCTCTTCTTTTCTGATATGATTACTTTTTACCTTTAGTTCTGATAGTTACTGTCTTATGGTGGGAAAAGTCCCACACCTGAACTTTAGGTTGATATTCAAGCCTTTTAACTGACTGTTTCTGAAGATCACTTTGCTCATATATAAATGGCTAAGGCAGCTTACCTAAGATTCTTTATAAATATCAGTAAAGCTATTCATTTATTTTAAAAATATTTATTGAGAACCTACAATGTGCTAAACATTATCCTAGACTCTGTGGATATGTTAGTGAAGAAAACAAAAATTCCTGTCCCCAAGTTCTCATTTTTATGAAGAGAGACTTAACAATAAACATAAGGAATTTATATGTTAAACACTAATTATTATGAAAAAAACTGTGAATCAGGTTAAAAACTATTCTTGTACATAAGAAGGAAGTGGGAATGTGATTTTTTTTCACATTTGTCAAAATTTACAAATATATTTATAAGTATAAAGTTAAAGTGAAGGTACTGCAAAATGTTTGCAACTGGTGACTTTAATTAGAAAAAAGACTGAGGATGACACCTCATGATCTCTCTCTTTGTTATCAAGTATCCATCACACATTTTAAATATTAGACTGCCTTGTCAAATTGATACGGTGAGGGTGTGACCTGCATTTGGAAGCTCTTCACCCCTCCCCTGTCCTTAAAAGGTGTGCTCTGTACCCCGTACCCACTCTTCCCACAGTGGGAGGTGTCTTCAAGGACACAGCCTTGGCAGAGCAATGTGCTGTTAAGCCCATCTGGATGGTGTCCACAACTGAATCCCAGTAAGGACTCTCTAAAACTTTGAAGATTCTAGCAGGTGGGGTAGAGATCCACCCTTCCCGAGGTGTCCAAGACAAGCCTCATAAGGAAGTTCCCTTGCTTATTCAACCTGCCACCAACCCATCTGAAATGGCCTGCCTCTCAAATCACTCTCTCTGTCCTCTGCGTATGGGGAGTTTCCAGATTTCACCCAGCAAGCTTCTGAGTTTGCAAGGAACAAATGTAAAATTTGTCAGTAAAGCAATCTGGTTCATTGTTGGAAATGTTTCAACTCTTAAATTTAGTATCTTTAGTAGATATAGTACTAGTCATATTATTTATTTCTTCTTCAATGGAATTTGACAGTACCTGCCTTATGAGAAATCTTTCCATTTCATAAGTTGCCATTGCCAAATCATATGCATATTTCCATAATATTTCTCTATTAGACTCTTAATGTGTGAATTCTTTAATATTGTTCTTGATCATTCCCAAGATTGGTAGTGTGGGTCTTATTCCCTATTTTTCTTGATCATTCTGCCTAATGGTTAATCAAATTGATCTTTTCTAAAACCCCACTGATTTCATTGATTTTCTGTTGTTTTTCTCTTTTCAATTTTATGGATTTTTGTTCTCATTTTTATGATTTCTTTTCTTCTCTTTGTTTTGGGTTTTATTCACTCTTCATTTTGTTTTTTCCAGTGGAAGCTTAGACTACTGATTTGATCATGTATTTCTTTTCTAATGTAAGAATATGTTTTAAAAGTCCTTTGAACAGTACATTGACTACATGCTACAAATTTTTATGTATTGCATGTTTCATTTTCCTTAAATTCAAAATATATTCTAATGTCCTTAAATCACTCCATCTTTGTCCCAAAGAAATGTGATTTTTAAATAAGAATATTAAGATAGATCTCACTGCAAAGATGACACTGAGTTAGAGACCTAAAGAACATGAGAGAATAAATCTTGTAGATATTTGAGGGGAAAAGTGTTCCAGATAGGTAACAGACAAGGCTCTAAGGTTAAAAATATGTCTGCATTATTTGAGGAACAAATTGAGGAGGGCAGTGTGTGGTAGAAGTGGAAGGAATGAGGTGGTTGTGGGACGAGATGATAAGAAGGGGACACACTGTGAACTTGCAGTGAAATGGGAGCATTGAAAGATTTTAAGTAGAGGAATGACACTTTCACACTTATCTTTTAATAAAAGTCATTCTGGATTTTTTCTGAAGAACTGGGTTAAAGGTTGTGACTACTTTCACTTAGGGAATTCTTCAGAACAACAGATGTATGTGTAGGGAAAGAAGAGTTCAGTTTGGTGCACTTCAGGTTTGGGAGATCATCTGTTAACATTTGGAGGAAAGGCATGGGCTGATACTACATTACATTTCCTTGTCATAAACAAGGAAAAGGACCTTTGGAAGAATGAGAAGAGTAGAGGGATGCTGGGCATTATCTGAGGACTGCTCCCATTTGAGGACAGGCAAAGGAAAAAGCATTCCATAAAGATTGAGAAGACATAGTAAAATTCTGGATGAACTTTGAAGGCGTGCCAACAGAATTTCTTGTTGGATTTAATGTGAGAGAAAGGGAGCAGTCAAGGATGACTGCTAGGGCATCTTGAGAGTGTTGTCTACTACTGATCGAACTGACAATAAAAGGCCCATTTTAGACATTTGAAAAAACATGTATTTTTTACCTACAACTCTTAGATGAATCCAAGAGTTGGAGGGCTATTTTTACATTGCAGGCAGAAATGTAATTGTGCCAGGGCACTCTATAAACTGTTGGTTTCTATGAATTAGGTAGAACATGGAAATTACCTTTTTAATTCAGATATCATTAAATTAAACAAGTCTTTCACTTGTGGAGCTTACTCTGTATGCTGGGCTGACTTATTTATTTTTGTTGTTCTTATGGAAACAAGTATTTAGTCAATTTAGTTAAAATATAAATTTGGTAGGGAGAAAAGTATACTGTTTGCCAAGAAATTATCTCTTTGTTTGTATTGGTACCACATGATACAGCAAATGAAGTGCCACTATAATTTTGTCCTATAACATTCAAGTTTCCAAACTTGTTGGCAATTTGGGTGTAGAAAGGGACAAAAGAAAAAATTTTAATAAGGTTAATTCCTGCTCCTGTACAGGGCAGAATTGTTAGCTGACATATAATTCTAGACTGTAGACACAAGTCTACTGATAAGTTTTTGCAGACCATAAAAAGCTTAGAAACTTCCAGGAAAACTTATCTCTACTGGATTAATAGGGTGTTAGGTGTGTGTAGGTTAGGTTACTTCAGGTTGCAAAGATAAAGACGTACATAGATAGAGAATTTATTATGAGAATATTGAGAGAAGGCATTTCAGCATTTGAACAGTGAGGTGTAGCAGAGAACTGTTTAGAATATAGAAACAATTCTAGAAGGTACAATCTGCTATAGTAGCTTTCCTCATAACTGAGCCCCTCTGTGCTGCTTTCTGCCTGCTTCTCCTGTTTTACTGATGACTCCTGATTCTGTTTTCCATCAATGTCATGGCTTCTGTAGAAAAGTAGATAGATAAATAGGTAGGCAGGTAGGTAGATAGGAAGCAAGGAAGGGAGAGAATGGTAGGAAGGAAAAGAAACTGTTATCTCAAAGTCTTCTCTTTACTGCCTTACCTGTTTTGTCTGTCTTTTATGTGTCCTTCCTTCTCTATCTCACATTCAGATTTCTCTTAGCAAGGGTTCCTTGGAGACAGTGTCCCTGTTGGAAATAATTGTGCCAGGGCACTCTATAAACTGCTGGTCAAGCTTCAGATGACTGCTTTTGGCTCAGGTGCCAACATTCTGGTCTAATCCATTGTTGACAACTCAGAGTCATATGACCTCTGCTTAAGGAACTCTCATCTGAGAGTCATAATGCTGGCTGACATCACAGTACTGTGATACAAGGGAGCTATAATATTTTGCTAGTCTTTGCCCCTGCCTGAAATACAGGTACCCTATCACTTCAATTAGCTCTAAAGACAGGAGATTATTGATGCCATCAGCCTGGACACCACCGTGAAAAGCTCATTATTTTCCTTTGCCAAATGAAATTAAAGGTCTTCTTTTATTTCTCTTTCAACAGTATTTTTTTTGAAAAGCATATTTATTTATGAGAAATAAATCCACACATAATTACACTGTAATAAAAGGACATTATCTTATTTCAATAGATAAGCAGACTTTTTTTTTAAGAGAACTTAGTGTTTCCTTTTCAGCTTTGGAGTCAGATAGAAGCAGTTGATTCTACTTGTGTTGCTTATGAGCTTTTACCTTGGCCAAATTCATTCTCTGGGCCTTAGTTTCTCATCCTTTTTTTAAAAAGGGATGATAAAACATTGTCATCATGGAGTTATTATGAGGATAAATCATGTATGTAAAGTACTTGATACAGTGTCTAGCACATAACAAATGCTTGTAGGTGGTTCCTGCAATTGTCTTTATTGTTATTTACTGACTGAGACATGGTAAAGTTTAATTAAAAATATCAGCGTTAATGATACTCAAAAGAAAGTATACTCATCTCTGTTTCCCAAAATTCCTGTTTAGGTGCAAAATATTTGACATATTCACTGTTTTGTAGCTGATTTCATCTTACCTTGTAGTTTTTAGAGGAGGGTAGGAAGTAGTCTTACCTAGTCTCTAGCTGCTGCCTGTGGTCACCTCATGTTACCGTCAGCATCTCTAGGGAATCCCCATCTACTGTCTGCATAGCAGCATTCTTACTTCTGGATTCCTGAGCACAGGTATTTTAGAGATCCACAACAACTGCTTGGACACAGAGTATCCCACTCAAATCTTAAAGATATTTCTGGTACTTTCTTATAACTCCGTACAATTATTATTCTTGTTTACATGTTCTAGGTTTGAAGAAAAGGCCCAAATGGATCCCCTCAGTGCTCTGAAATATTTACAAAATGATCTTTATATAACTGTGGATCACTCAGACCCAGAAGAGACAAAAGAGGTAAAGGTGGTAATAAATTTACTTCAGAGCATTTTTTTAAAGTCTTTTTTTCTTTATTTTTATAGTTCTTTATATTCTTCATATTTTCTTTTTATAAAAAAAGGCTTTTCTTATATTTCCTGATTTTGCTCTTAGATGTTTAGAAGAAAATAGGACAACAGTAATAATCTTAAGAATGGTATAAAGCAGATGAAATAAAAATTGAACAGGCTTATTTTCATGTGATAATATAAGGTTCAGGTCACACCAAAAACCCTTGATCTGTTCAGATAAGGATTCTCAGGTATAAAGTTTTAACTTGTGTTGGAAAAAAGAAGTAAAAACTTTTACTTCTGTAGTCCCATGCTTCTTTTGCTTAAGGATTACATAATGGTTCAAAATATTTTCTCTTGATACTCCAAAGTCCCTTAAGAGAAGAAGGAAAACTCCCTTTTTTTTGTAGGGAGAAAGTGAAGAGAGGTTAGTGGGAGTAGAATCCTTGCTGCATTGATACTTAGTTCTATGGATGTTGTCTCAGTACAGTTGGGCTACAGTCTACCAACTTCATTCATTAGTAGTCCCTAAAGAAATTAGTAGCAAATCATTACTTTTCAGGGTTTTTTTGTTACATAACATGGGATAAAGTAGAAGATTTAATATTCTTAGGGCATAATTGCTTATCTACAGTGTATGAAGATAAACTGCAAAGAGTTTCCATGGTCTTACAACCTGTCTTCCTACTAACTTCTGAGATTCTTTCTGTCACTTTCTCATTTTACCAGCGTCCTTGTTCATAGTTCATCTGGCAACACCTGAATTGCAGTCCGTTTTACTTCCCACTCACAAAATTGATGCTGATTATATGTAGTTCTGTGCCTTACATCTGTTTCCCTGTTAGCTGCTGCTTTACTTTGACCATTTTGGCAACATCAGGCAGTGCTTTTCTCTGTTCAGCATTGACACAAGTTTCACATTTAGTGTCAGATCACTTTCAGGCACCCAGGTTCATTGTACTTTCAAGAAGCAGTAGAGCCTGCTTGTCCTTGGCATCAAAACAGAGATACTCTTTCATAGTTGCCTACTGAGAAAATAAGTCTATTTCTCTTACTCAGTATTGGTTACAACCCTCTACTAGGTGGAGGATCAGCAAAACACACTTTAGAACCCCCCCGAAGGGGAACACCTAATTGTCTTTCCTTGAATCTTTAGTCAATTCATGATACTATGTGAAATAGGGGAAACTATCATAGTTTTGACAAGTAGCAGAAATGTCTGATTTAATTCATTATGGTGTACAACTGAACATGGTTGTAAAGAGTTCATTGAAGTTTATTTTGTTAGACCATGCATTTGAAAGTTGTAGATAGATTTCCTTATGTTTTCCCTATAGTCTGTCTTACATGGCTGTAACATGGGAATATTCATTTTTCTCTTATTTTTTAAACCAAAACAAAACACAGTATTGCGAAGTAAACAATTTCAGCTCTGTGAGTTGCAAGTAGGCCAAAGAAAACATGGACAGTTTGTTTTTAAGCTAAGCTAATGGGAAAAACAAGAACAGGGTGGTATCTATCTCAAATTCAAACAGAGTGATTTTTAAAATTTTGGTGGTGGATTTCTCTTTTTCTCCACTCCTCAATAGTTTCAAATTAGGACGTTGTATGCTATAGACTTCCATTCATTTCTTAAAAGCTTTGTTAATCGTTTAGCCCTGTTAGAAGTCAGTTAAGGTGATACTGTGAATGTCTTTGTCAGCATCAGAATTTCTTTAGAAACTTTTTCAAAACAATAGCCTCACCCTCTCTCTGTTCTTATGTTAACAGAAAACTGAAAACACTGATGACATTGAGAATTATTTTTCTGTAAGGTTATTATTTTGTTTAAAAATGTATGAATGGATTTTGTTTCTGGGAAAGAAATCCCTTTGTGATAGTTTTAATATACATACTTGATAGTTTTAGTATACATACAGTATTTGTTAGTAAAATATTTAGATCTTCACTTCCTTTATAAGAAATCATTCCACTTACCAAGAAAAGCCTTACTGCTGCTATTCATTTTACATAGTAGCTTGTTTTTGTTCTCTATGAATGCTATACAAATTTTTATATTAAGTGATTATGTAAGCAACTAAAAGCAGTTCCTAGATTTTTCTCTTTTTGGAGTGTGGTGATCATGATGATGATCATCTCTGTGCCTGATACCGGGAGAATGATGGCAGACTACCAACTGTATGCCAAATAATAGTTCTTTGCTTTCCTTCAGTCCCAGAATATGGGGTCTAAACTGGTGATGAGCTTCTAATAAACTGTATGAAAATGATACATTTTTTTTCTAGACAAGACCCAAGAAAAGGATACCTAAATTAGTTCTGCCATTTTCAGAGAGAATTCTGTAATAGAGAAGGAACAAGAAAAGTTTTTGGCCAATATTGCACATTTTGTATTAATTACACATCTGCTGAGCTTCAAAAGTCCTGGTGTCATTTGTTTAACAGATGTGTATTGAATCCCTACAGTATGCCAGGCATTCTTGTAGGCATAAGAGATACCTTAGTGTTCTAAGCAAAATCCCTGCCCAGAAGGGACTTACATACTAGTGGAGGAAGACAATAAACAACAAACATATTAAATAGGCAAATTATAAAGTACATTAGAATTTAATAAGTATTATGGGAAATTTGTAAAGGGATAAAAGGGGTAAATGGAGATCAGATTTACAAGGAGTGAGAATTGGGCAAGTTGCAGCATTAGGATGATCACAATAGATATTTAGAAATGAGTTTGCACAGATCTTGAAGGATATAGGGGAGTGATAAACCATATTTGGGGAAGATAATTTCTGGCAAAGGGAGGGCTAGAAATAAGACCCCAAGGTAGGAGCATTGGGGCTTTGTTTAGGAGAAGAGCAGGGAGGCCATTGTGGCTAGAGTAGTGTAAGGAGGGTGAGATTAGTTAGAGGTTAGAGAGGTAAGAGCAGGGTTAGGGAGAGCAAATTGTGAATGTTAGTCATTTTGTAAGTCATTGTTAGGGCTTTGGCTTTTCCTCTGAATAAATAAGGAGCCAGCCAGTTCAGGGTATTGTGCAGGAGAGTGATGGGCTCTGTTTATGTTTTAATCGGTTCACTCTGACAACCATATTGAGGAGAGGCTGCAAGAGGAAAAGAGTGGAGGCAGAGAGACCTATGAGAGAGATTGCAGAAATCTAAGCCAGGAAGTATTCTAGTTCAAATCAAGTATTAGCAGTAAAAATAGTGAGGAGTAAAGTAGATCATATTCTCCATATATTTTAAAGATAGAACCAATGGCATTTTATGATGGATTTGATGTAGGGTTTGAAAGAAATGACTCTCCAAAAAGCTTTTGGCCTGAGTGGACTGAGTTACTGCCATCTAAAATGAGAAGGTTCTGCATAGACCTGGTTTGTGGTATGGGTGGGAACTCCTAAATGGGATCAGTAGTTTAATGCTGGATATGTTCAGTTTGAGATGCCTGTGAAACAGCCTCCTTGAGAAGTTGAGGTGATAGTTGGATATTCAAGTCTGAAGTATGAGAGAAAGGTCTGGCTTTATTCAGATTGTATAATAACCCTTAATACCTGATAAAACCCTATATCAGTACCTGTTAGTTCCATTATTTAATCAGATTATTAAATAACAGTTTTCTCCCTATCCTCCTATATGTAGAGCCAGTAAAGTTTATCTTTCACCTTAGAAAATAGAAATTAACCCTCAAATAAGCAGAAGATAGGAAATTAGTGGAATAAGAAACAAACAATAGAAAAAATTTAAAGGTGAAAAGTTGGTTCTTTGAAAAGAATTTGTGATTTCATCACAAATTAAAAGGGGAAATTATTATACATCTTATATACATTAAAAGGGAATAAGAAGATATGAACAACTGTCAACAAATTCAACAACTCGAAATGGACAAATTCCTTGAAAGACACAACTTAAAATGACATAAGAAGAAATAGAAAACCTTATGGAACTCTTTCAATTACAGACAGATTAAATTTATAGTTGAAAACTTTGTAACAAAGAAAACTCTAGGTCTGGATGGCTATATCCGTAAATTCTTGTCAACCATTAAAGGAATAAAAAATGCCAATTCTGATAGACTCTCAGAAACCAGAGGAAATCTAAATCTTTTTATAAAGCGGCTTAATTCTGGTACAAATATCCAACAAAGATATTACAAGCAAAGAAAATTAAACACCAGTACCCCTCATGAATGCACATGCAGAATTCTTAATAAAACTTTAATCCATCACTATAAAAAAGGTTAGCGATACACGATGACCAAGTGGGGGTTCATCCTAGGAATACTAGGTTGGTTGAACATTTGAAAATCAGTCATTCATCACATTAACAGTATGAAGGAGAAATACCAGTAAGTTAAGAAAAAGCATGATGAAATTTAAAACCCATTCATGATAAAAATTCTTAGCAAACTAGTGGTAAAAAAAACTTCCCAAATCTCATAAAAGGCATCTGTGAAAAACATGCAGCTAGCATCGTACTTAATGGTAAAACTTTAAGTCCTTCCTCCTAAGATCATGGCAAAGAAGGGATAGATGTTTGCTGTCAACAGACATCCTCTATTCAGCATTCTGCTGTAAGTCCTAACTAGTGTAATAATAAGAAGTAAACAGAGTGTAGATTGGAAAGGAGGAAGCAAAATTGTTTGTGTTTCTAGGTGACATTATTGTGTACATGGAAAAACAATATACCAAGAACATGAATTTAGCAAGGTTACTAAATAGCAGATCAACAGAAAAATAAGAGTAATTATTTTTATATTAGCAGTGAACATGAAATGGAGTTTTAAAACCTGCTTCTATTAATATAAAAAAATAAATAGTAATAAATCTATTATAAGAAATAAAGACATAAATAAATGGACAGATACATCACATTTGTGAGTTGACAGACTGAAAATTGTTAAGATGCCCATTCTCCCCTAATTGGTTTCTAATTTAATCCAGTCCCTGTCAGTATACCGGCAAGTTTATATTTCGTTGTTGTTCAGGAAATAGACAAACTGATTGTAAAACTTATATGGAAATTCAAAGGCCAAAACAGTCTTGAAAAAAGGAAAACAAAGTTGGATGTCTCATACTACCTGATTTCAGGACTCTGTAAAGCCACAGTAATCAAGGCGTTTTGGTGCTGCCTTCATGACAGACAAATTGAACAGGAGAACAAAGTAGAGTTCAGAAATAGACCCACATATATACGGTCAATTGGTTTATATTTTTCCTCTTCTGGGGATAGGAAGGTCTTTTTAACAAATAGTGCTGATATCTCAACTCCTGTTTCACTGTTTACATAAAAATTAATATTAAAATGGATTGTGGATCTAAATATAAAAGCCAAAACAATAATGCTTCAAGAAGAAAACAGATTATCTTTACAACCTTGGGATAAAAAGATTTCTTGGACATGATGCAAAGGCGCTAATCATAAAGGAAAAAAACTTGATAGATTGGACTTGAACAAAATTTAAATTTTGTTAAAAGGCATTATTTTAAAAATAGGCAAGCCACATACTAAATAATATTTGCAGTAGACATATCTGACAGAGGATATCATACCCAGAATATGTAAAGAACTTTTGTGTATTTTTAACTCTTTATCCTTTTCCTAGCTGTTGCTTATTAGATAGTTACTTCTGGGAAATTTGTCCAACTTCTGACTTTCAAAGAGCCATTAATTGGGGCTTACAAATATTAGTGTGATTGATATATGAAATTTTAAAGGCTGGAAGCATAGGTGTAAGATACATCCTAAGGAATCAGTGGCATCAACCACTCAGGCCTTGCAAAGTGCCAAGTAACCCCATTGAGAACCCACTGATTTGTCTGCTCTTACTCTTCCCTTTAACTTAACTGTCTTCCAGCATCCTCATTCAAGTTTTATATATATATAAATAGTTGTCCTAAACTTTCTCAATTTTAGTTGACCTATTGTTTGTTAAATACATACCAGTAAATTTTAAAAATAAAATAATTATAGGACTTGGTCAAATATTTTGGAAAATGATAATAGCAGCCTGCTAGAAAAGTCAGCATTTTCTTTAAATGTGGCATTCTTCTTGTCACTAATTGGTGAATAGACTTAGGCACCACATGTGCAGAGTCATAAAGTGGCTAATAAATGGTCAAAATAATAGGAACTATTTTTCTCTTAACTTTGTTTAGCCAGCTAATTTGCTTCTTTTTTTTTTTTAAACAGTTTCAGCTCCTAGCTTCAGCTCTATTCAAATCTGGTTCAGATTTTACAACTCTAGGTAAGTATTCTAGTGTACTTTATCTGTCCAGTTGCTCTAGCAATTTGAGAGCTTACATTTTGGTTTCCTTTAAGTGAAACATCAGGTGAGAGGTCCATCTAAGCAAATGGAGCATGTTTTAAGGTAACATGCAAAATTTCTAATAACCTCCTACAAGGTTATTTTCCAAGTATCAGTCAGCAATTCATGGGTCAGTTTGCAGTTCCTATTAACACCAGTTGCTGGGTTATTATGCAAACAGATGGCAGTAGAAGCATGAGCAAAAGAAGTTAACATGTATAGCATTGTTTTAGAATGCAGGCTGTATTCCTGATACACTTACTATGAGATAACATTTGTTGGTTGAATGGTTTTTCCTTTTAGTTCCTGTGGAACTGCGGGGTCAACAGAATGGTGAGGGGGTTATTCAATGAAATAAATGTTTTAGGATCAGAGAAACTGAATTACCTCTTTCCTAAAAATGGGGATCTTTGTATGTTGGTATCTTAATTGTTCAAGGTAAATGCTGCTCAAAACTCAAATGTTTCTCAAACACCCAGATATAGGCATCAGTCTTCATTTAGGACTACTCTTATTTAGTATTAATGAACTATTAAAGTAAACTATAGTATCTGTAGAATCTATAGAAGGGTAATATACAGAGGAATCTATAGAAGTTCCAGAACCCACAGCTTTAGTTGGGTGAATTTTTAAGGTTTATTTAGGATAAGTCAATTTATAGCTGCACTTTTTCAACAAGATAGTAGCCTTTTATAGTCTGGTAATTTCCAGCTTTCCTGTTGTCATTATAAAATGTAGTCACACAAGTGAATGCATAATGATCCTATTGATGCCAGTACTGTTATTATTTGCCTTAGAGTTGAGCAGTAGTATTGAAATTTTCCAATATATGTAATATAAATACTACTCTTATTTCTGGAATAAAAGAACACTTTGGAATATCAGTTAGATTTCTTCATCTCTTTGTCCTTCTGTCTCTTAAAATGAACCATACCTCAAAGGGAAAAAAGAGTATATATAATTATGGTATTTTTCACTGGGATGGGAAAAAATAGCAATATTCCATGGGCCTTGCCCTTTCTTTTTCCATAATGAATAATTGAGGCTTCTCTGCTGATCAAGGTAACTCCAGTCCTGAGCTCTAATTCCAGAATATGCAGAATTCCACAGGGCAAAACTGAGAACACTTATAAAACATACCTCTAGAAAGTTCTCCTAAAAATTTAAACAATCATTTATCTTTGTTCCACACACTCAAGAGCTTTAAAACAATTTTCAGACTATTAGGAATCTCAACTGTATTATGGAGAATCTAGGTATAAGCATTATTTTGGACAGTTCTTATACTTTTGACTTTTATCATTTGAAACAGACTTAGTGATACATGAATTGGGAGCCTGGCACGTAGACATTCAGTTTGACTGAATATGTGCCTTCTTAGGTATGGATACAACATCCCAGAGTCATTATTTTATTGGTGGGCAGCACTAAAGAGTTGCTGGCTGGCTTGTATTTAGCCTTTAGAAGAAGAATTTCTTGGCAGTCATTTAAATATGTTAGGCCGGTGTCAGCAAATATTTTACCTTCAGCTTAACTCCTTTCTTCTGTGTCTGCCCTATTCACTGCCAGCTAATATATTTTGTCACGAACAGTTTTTTTTACTTGGATTACAAACCTCAGATACACTGAGAACAATAGAAAAAAATGCAAAAGGGGAAAATTCCTGTAGGGTTTTCTTTCCTACCTTGTCTGGAAGGAGGCGCTATGTTTAGTAGTTCAAAGATGAGTGTAATATAGTGGTTAAGAGTCACAATCTAGGTTCAGATAGCAGCTCTGCCACTTGCCAGTTTTAAAAGTGACCTTGAGCAAGTCACTTTTCTATGCATTAATTTGTTCATCTATAAAGTGGAGGTAATAAGAGTACTTACCTCAGGTTGTTAAGAAAGTTAAATAACCATGGAAAACACTTAGCCCAATAAAACACTTAGTAAGTGCTCCATTCAGGATACTGTTGTAATTACTTCCCTTAAAAATATAATCTTTGTAACATTGGTGAATTTGGATGAGGTTCTATGCTAATTTTAATGAGATTTCATTTATTGTTTGTAAACAAAAAATACCTTTCATAAGGTTTCATGACTATTTAGAGTTCCTGGTTCTTGTTCTCATTCATTTTCTGTCAGATTGTTTTACCTTTACTCTGCTTAAAATTAAAATCAAGTGACTTATGAAAAAAATCAAATGGTTATTTTATGTATACATGTATATATCTTTCATGTATAGATAAACCAATTATTTCATTTTCAAAATTCTCTTCCCAAAATTTATCTTGGCCAGACTTTCTGACTGACTCCCTTCAGAATTAATCAGTTATCTTAACCTCTTAGTGAGAATTAAATAAAAATATTTATTTGTGTATAATTGAAAGAATTGGAAAGATGGAAAGTGATTTTCAAATAGCTGGCATTATCTTAATTTTGAAAAATGACTGACTTCAAAGAAAACCTGTGGGAATCTTCAGATTTTTTGGTGGCTGTGAGCACTTTTAAGCTTGAATTTAGACATCTTGCTAATTTTAAGAGGTGTTTCCAGAAAGTATGCTTTGAAGCAATTATTTTCTCCATAATGAAAATGAAAAGCATACTTTCAGCAAGCTATGTGACAAGTAAGAAGAATCTGGTCTGTGTAGCATATTGCCTGTTTTTGGTCATCACACCTCTTCTTAGAAATTTTACAGTTGAAATATGATTTGTAAGTATGAATTCAGAGAAGTGTTTAAAACATTTTATGCCTAAAGTGATGCTTATTGGCACTGTGTTGACATTTGTGAATGTAGGAGCCTTAAGAATTTCACAGCATTTGCTGTGCCCTTTTAGCCTTTACGTTTTTGCTATATCCACCAAATTTAGATTTCAGCAAGGTACTTTCTTCAACCTCCTGTATGTAGTCCACATATTTTAAGGTACTTTTTATATAATAGTAAGTTTATGATTAGATATTAGAAGTGTAAAGAAAGATGTATCCAGCAGAAAAATGAGAATTCTTGCTATTTGTTCTTTACTATAAATAGGAAAAGCTACCTGGTCTATGTAGGATGTTAAGTTAAAAGTATTTTCCTATTAGGTCACTTTTCTTTCTAGAGCAGTCACTATCTTCAGTCATGGTAGTAGTGATAAAGTAATAGCAAGTATATATTGAGTACATACTATGGATGGGGTCAGATACTTTTTTTAAGCACGTTCCATGTCATAACTCATTTAATCTCCAGAATAACCTTGTAAAGTAGCTACTGTTATGATACCCTTTTATATATGGAGAAACTGGGACACAGAGGGCTACAATAACTTGTCCAGGGATATTGCTAGTGAGTAGCAACACCAAGATCAACCTTAGCAGTATGTCTCCAGAGCTCATTCTCTAAACCAGCAACTATAGTACCTCTCGTTGAGTTTTACCAGTTTCTACCACTCTGAGTGGTTAGTTCCTCATTCCATTTAATGGTGAAAATGAAGTGAGACAAACAGTTATTAGGAGCATAAGATTTGGAATCAGTACAACTTTTTTGTCCTAGCTCTACCATTTAAATAGTCATATTACTATTGATGAGTTTCCTAGTGCCCCACCCCTTTTTAATGTATTTTTTTTTAAACATTGGCTACAGATAAAGTTTAAAATTCTCCTTAAACAACTTTCTCAATTTTTGTCCCTTATCCTCAAGTATAAACACCCATATCTGGCATGTCTTTACACACACTCACAACTGTATGCACAAACATACAAATACTGCTGATTCTCATTATTTGCAGTAGTTATGCTATAGAAAGTACTGGGAACACTGTTTTAGTGAATACTGAACCATTGCTTTTATGGTACATACACAAAGCTAGGTTCTTAGAAACCTCTGGTCACAACATTTTCATCAACTGATTAATACATAACCTCAATTTATGTGTGTTCCTGTTTAAAGACATCTTATTTATGTATTTATATTGTTAATTCATTAACATGAACCCACAGCCAACAGTGCTATAACTCATTCCTGAATGAAGCTTTATCTAATACATATATTTTTATACATTAGGCATATCATGGCCTTCTTGCCCTTAGGAAACTAGACAGCACTTCAGCACTACACTTGGGGGCCATTTTAAAGAGTGAAGACATCAACAAAAAGCACAAAAATACAAAAAACATTGTACCAGTAGACTTTGAAAAGGACGCTTTTTTATAGTATGAGATCTACTATGGTATGTTTTTTGTAACAGTGAAATGTGGTCATACATAAAGTACTTAGTACTTGGTAGGAACTCCATTTCCTTCCCTCCTGAATCATTTGATCTCATGAAAATGGTAATACTTCATCAGCTTACTACCACAGAACCAATATCATCTCTTAAAAATATAACATTATTACATTTTTGCAAAATAAAGAAAATAAAGAGGGGAAACCCTAAAGCTGAATACAAACAAGAAAAAAACCTGTTTGTCATATTGGTAACATTATCACATAGTAGGGGGGAAAAAGAATTAAACCATTTTAGTATAGTGTTTAGACTATATACTCTTAAGTGAGATATATTCTAAAGACAACAGAAGCAAAGAAACCTTGAGTTTTTGCTGGTAGACATATGAGTATAGTAATTCTGGGATGTGTTTTGTGTGTATTTTAGGTCAAGCAAATTAAATAATATATGGAGATGTTGGGAGTTTTCCTAGTGAGAGAAAGGAGATAAAAATGTGGAATAAGATAAGGAGAGGAAGAATCTTACAAGGTTCTTTAAAAATTGAAATCAGTAATAAAAGTATAAAGTCATGTTTTTTAAAAAGCTGTGTATATAATATATGTGTACATATATGTATAAGCCTAGAAACACCACCACCCTTAGCAATTAGCACAATTGATGTTGCTTTCTCAATAAAATAGCTGACTCCAGAACTGTATAAAGACAAGTTTAGATATCTTGCTGTGCCATAAAGTTAGGAAGTGCTCAAAAATTAAT